TTCAACCGAGAGTGATAAATCAATTTATAGATAATGACGTCTTTTGATAATGTATGTTTTTTTTTAGAAACAAACTAATGAATCCTTTTTTGTTATTTTACTCTTTGTTCTGTGGGCCAAGTGGTGCATTCATTTTGAATTACTTCTCTCTATACATTCAACGCTCTTCTATTTTTGTATATCACGAGGCGGATTATTGCGACAGTCTAATCCTCTAAAAGCATACGAATAAATTTTATTCTGTTGCGACTGTCACGAAGAAAAACCCATTCATCTTTTTTCCTATTTTAGATGATGTTGAGAAAATGTAATAATAATTAAGTCCGAAAATATCTAAAGAACGGTCGACAAGAGCGAAGCTTTTTTGCTAACTGATTCTGGTATAAGAGAAGAAACAATCAACGATGCTACACTTTAGTCAATAGTAATAATGATTGTTTTTTGGTATCTCCTGGCGGTTTTTTTGTATTGCAACAATGTAACTGCAAATGATCTAATTGATTGGTTTGATCCTGTCGATCTTGTTGATACTAAATCAATAGTGACATTGGAGACCACTAGTGGTTTTGCAATTACTTTTACAGGAATTACTCATTCGGAACTCAATGCCAATACCGATTTGCTCTTGATTTTAGCTTATGTAGCCGACTTCTTGAAATAATGTACATTGCAATGCATTATTTTTCAATAGAAATACAATGGATGCAATTACACGATAATGCAACCTATTTCATGCATTGATAATGCATTATCTTTGTTAACTCATTGCAATGCATTCAAAAAGATAATGCATTATAATTGAGTGAAAACGTAGGTTGAAATAAGTATGCAATTAAAGAGTATAAAACTGCGACAAAAAACATTCTATTTTTGATTTCAAGCTTTCAACAATTTACAATTGTCATCATCGGGAAATCATTAGAAAAAAACAAAGTTAAGCTATATATATATATATATGTATACCAAACAAGGCATAGAACAGAACAGAATAGAACAGAACATAGGAAAAGAGAAAAAAAGATTGCAATATCAATCTATACATCAAAGCTAACACAATTACAACTTCACTATATTTTAAATTAATCTTTTTTAGTTTTATATTCTTTAATTACATAATGCATTATAATGCAATTACATGATAATACAACCTATTTCATGAACTGTAGTGCATTATCTTTTTTAACACATTACAATGCATGAATATGTCATTGCATTATAATGCATGACATAGGGTGCATTATCATGTAATTGCGTATATTATTTCTTTAAATGCGCTATAATGCATTAACAGTTTCATACATTCTACTCTTCTGATCACATACACATAAACATACCCATAGATTTATACCCCTGAACCGATCTTAAATACCAACGCCATATTCAGAAAGAAATTTTCATAGACCAAACCATAGGTTTATTAATAAATTTATTGACTTCATATCATTGAAATGATAACAAAAAAGAAATTAACAAGTGCAATGAAATCAAAAATAAACATCAACAAATATAATGACAAAAAAAAATTAATAATTACAATGAAAATAAATTAGATGTATGACACGTAAACAATAGATATATAGCATATGAAAAAAATGAATATTAGTTCGAGAAGAGATTAGGATTATTCATTAATGCTTTTTGTACGGAACGAACAAACAGGATATCTTCGACCGTATCTGGACTCAATGAGGATCTTCTTTCATTAAAAAGAATACCAGCAGCACTAAACCGCCGCTCAACATCTGCTGATGTGGCAGGTATTGAGTACAATCATTTAGCCCCTTTGGCCAGACATGATAGCTTATCTTCATGATGCTGCCCAAATGGTAAAGGATTTGGTGTTTTACATATACAAAAAATCATATCCGTTTTCAAACACCAGCATACTTCTTCTCTTCGTATACTGAGCAATCGTTATCCATTACCAAGGGAACTAAGAAGAATAGATAGAATATATCGAATCAAATCGTAACTATTTTTGTTTATATTAAGTCTATTTAGATTTAATCAAGATGAGTAAAGTGGAAGAGTCATGTAGGTATTTTAAGTCGGAAAGAGCAGATCCAGATTGCATCAAATGTTTATTTAATATGATATTTCTGTAGTTTCTAATAACTCAGAGGAGATCGACTGAGAACATCGATCAGCATATGTATAGTTGTTTGATGATTACAGGTAAATAAGTAGTTTTCATGTTTTCGTTGGTACCAACACGAGCATCTCATAGTTCACGTTTTGAACCCATAATGAAACTAAAATAAAACGACACCAAGACCAAAAACATAAAGAATATGTAGCCAGAGAAAAAAAACGATCGTTTGTAGTGGTAGTGTAGCTAAAGAATAAATTAATACGTAAGTTTTCTCTGTGTCATAGGAGCAGTAAGACAATGTAGACTTTTAAATTAAAGTATGAACCTATTGAAAGTTGGTGTCCTTTCAACAGTGGTCAAAATACTTTTCAGTTAAGTCGTACCTTCTTATGTTGAAGATTCAGGGAATTAGAAAATGAAACAAAATGACATTTTTTATGATGAAACGAACATAAATATTTTCGAACTTCTCGAGAAATAAAGAAAGAATGAAAACAGTTAAAATTATTTAGCGATACACTGCTTTTGTTTTGCATAAAAATTTTGGATTGTTCATACTTCATTAAACTATATCTTCATATGGAAAAAAAATAATAAAGAGAAAAAAAGGCTATTCGATTTTTGGAATTGCTTTCTTATTGTTACTAAGAATTAAATTTTAATTTCAAATTGAAATGCATTCATACTTGAGTTTGCTTTACTTTTTATTCACATCCTTACATGCATGATTTTGTGATATTTTATTTAAAAAGTCCAGCTGCAATCTATGAGCTGTTTCCAAACCAGGCACAGCAATGAATTCTCACAAATTGAAAAACGAGAAAATGATGCTAGCTGTAACAAAATAAATGAATATGCTGCGATGATTAATTAATCTTTTCGAATGAAAGAAAAAAGTTCAATCAGTTGATAGTAGTAGTTTAAAAAGAAGATTTGTTATTTATGAGTAACGAAGAAAGACATGCAAATAAAGCTAAATAATAATCAGCTTTTTCTTAACTGAAATATAATTGTTCATGCCAATGATCTTCGATATATAATAAAGCAATATTGTAAATGAAAGATTTAACAAGAACTTTTCGTCAACAATTAATGGACTACAGTGTCACAGAGTAAGTCATTGACTTATCAGCATTACACGAGAATAGAATTGTCTTTCACTAAAAATAAAATGCATTCATTCACATAGAAATATTAGTAGTTTTCAATCAGCTACTTCTGATTCAGTTAAAAAATAGTACAACATCTTTATTAGTAAAGAAAAATAAAAATACTTTTTTGAGAAGCATAAAAATATTTGACGAATAAAGTCATTTTGAATAACAAAAAAAATTAAAGTAATTATCTAAGAGCAGTTAAAGCACAGCTGCAAAGCGAGTAAGAATATATCATTCAAACAAACGTTCGAAATTAAAACAATAAAACCATATCACAAACCAGAAGCGTATGTCTCTCTCCATTCCTCATAATGATGATGTTTCTCGAGCTATTACATTATTTCAGTTATATCTAAAACAATATTAAAACAAGCTTTTTTTCACCAGTTTTAAAAGAGAAAAGAAAAAGAGGCATACATTATCGAAGTTGATATTTAGTAGAAGTCATTTGGAGAATAGACGAGACAAAAAGAAGAAGAATATACAATGAATAACTTTTAAAAGCAACAATTCTAATGACTTGTTGCTTTTCTAAAAAAGCAAAAAGAAATCAACTATTCATTAATGTTGATTTCATCTGTAGATTCATAGATTATCAGAGTAGTAGAATTATGTGTTTAACCTTTCGATCGATCGATACATATTTAAGATTTGCATAGCATAGTTAATAAATACTCTTCTAGATCAATGACTACCAAAGTTAGTACTCATATTCGATACAAAAATAAATTTATACATTTCATCAGGAATCTGAACCTATACGATGATGATGATGATGATACGTTGACTCTGAATACGCAACTCTTATCTACACGTGTTCTGATTATTTCACTTTCGATTGTTCTCTTACTTATACTATTATTTACTGGTATTATTCCTCAAACACGTTTAATCACTGTTTCTTCACCATCTGTCAATGATTTCGAAAATATCGTCAACCGTTACACAACTACGGTTGCGTGCCGCTGTTCTCAAACATCGATTCTTTATTCACAAATTGTGTCATTGAATGCTCGATTTCATCAAGTTTGCTCAAGTGATTTTGTCAGTGAAAAATGGTTTTCTTCATTATTCAATATCAATACAAGCAATTACTATCCTCTTGATTTTCGTTTGATGGCTTCTGCACAATTTCAGATTTTATCTATTCTCTGTCGAATATCACGTCAAGCTGTAATCGATGCTCTCAAAGAATTTGCTGCAACGACAATATTATCACCAAGTGCATTATCACGCGATGTAATCAGCACATATATAGGCACGTCTATTGAACAATTCCAGGAAACAACAGTTGACAGTTTCCGTTCACACATTCATTTTACATTATCTCTTCTTGCAGAACATCATTTTATATCGGCATTAAGAACAAATTTCTATACAAGAGGTGTTGTTGATGGCAATAATTTTGTAACTTTTCCTGCCATTTATCCACAACAAATCGATCCAACTAAATCGTCATCGATATTGAATGAAACATGTCAATGTGATCGTACAAATAATTGTATTTATCCTGCTGGTATTTATAATCAAACGCGATCTATCATTCCGAATGAAGTCTTTTCACTTGATGTATCACCTCTATTCATGATACCAGAATTTCAAGTAGGATGTCTACCACAAAATGCATTGTTTCAATCAACATTGGAATGCTTTTACAATCAAACTTGTTTAGATATTGTGATTTCGTTGACTGGTGCTCTTCGCACTGTCTCATCTCTAAATATATCAAACTCTTTTTCACGATTCAGTCCAACAACAACAATTGCTGTGCTTTTTGATAATCTAATGATTGAGTCTTGGAAGAACTCTATTGATTTTGCTACTTATTTTCGAACTTGTGCACCTAAGATCTGTTCATATTCATATGTACAACGGTTTTTTCTCATTTACATGATTGCAACCATAGTTAGTGTCTTTGGTGGAATTCGCGTGGCATTATATATAGCATCTCCATTGTTTGTCAAATTCATTTTATACTTATGTCGCCGACGGGTTTCAATGCAA